TGTCACACTGGGAGCAGCCTGAGCACCCCTCTCCCACCAGGTAGGATGACAGGTGCTGGGCACCAGCACTGAGCACAGCCCTCAGGGGACCGTGGGGAACAGAGCAGCTAAAGAGAAGCCGCAGGCTAAGCCGAGCGCTAGGAAGGACCATTGAGAGAGCCTTCTGATAAAATTTTCCAGGTGCAACGGTATTGCGATCTGACAGCTGCCAGGTAAGAAGCACGGCCCCTGAAAGAGACTGGCCGAGCCTGCTCCAGTGTTCAGCTAAAGAAAATGGAAGAGTCAAGTGCAGAGTTAAAATTCAAACACTCCAACCTGTTCACAGCCAAGGTTCACAGACCTTCCTACACTGCTCAGTGGGTAGCACTACAGAAGGGCACACAATTGGGCACCCTGGGGCTTCTCTGACCACTGTGACATCAAGGGTCTGCATGCTGTGCCAGGGGTGGGCTGCCTGCCTCAACGCCCCCTGCCCCAGGGCTGCAGGGCCTATGAGCATCACTCCATCTTGGGTAGCAAGTCACTTGTAAGCTGGAGCACCTGCCATTGCTGGTCCCCAGAGCCACTGCTCACACCTCTGCCACCTGCCCATTTTCCAGGGGCTCGGGGACGAGGCCTCTAGTCTCCCTGAGCCATCACTTCTTCAGGCCAATCTGGCCACCTGATTCTTTGAAATATCTCTTAAATGATCCAGCTCCCTTCCCACTCCAGCGCAGTGTGCATTCCAAAAATCAGGGTGTTGGCAGCTGGGCAGAAGCAGAGTCAGGCCAGTATGGGCCCGGCCAGCGTGGGCCCAGCCACCAACACTGGGGACCAGGAGGCCCAGATGCTCGCTGTGACACGTGACCATGTGATCTGGGTGAAAGGGGCAGGTGTGCCTTAGGAACTCCTGCACAAAGGGAACAGGCAGCGAGCTGCTGACCTGCTCTTTCAAAGCAAGAAAACCAACAAGGCTGCCCTCGGCACAGGTTCCTGGGATGCCCGTCCCTTCAGACAGGTACAACAGGTTCCACTCAACCTCCTTCAGTGTGTTGTCATACCCTAAAGGCAGCAGGTGTACTTGAACTGCAGGAGACGTAAAATAACCAGCCACCTTCCAGGCATGGGGAGTCACTGTAAGATCACACGACAGTTGCTCCAAGCTTTAACTTAAACACACTGGTGGCAAGTTCCATATCAGATGCATCGTGCAGAAAGAAAGGGAGTCTTACCTCACCACACACCTGGCAACATCTGTGCATACCTGGGGGAACAGATGTCTGCGTGCTCAGTTAGGACAAGAGTCCCTCTAAGCACATCTATGCGCACATGAACAAGGTGCGTTTTTTTGTGCCCGGCCGGGCGTGGCTCAGCGGTTGAGCGTCGACCTAGGATCCAGGCGATCGGGGTTTGATTCCTGGTCAGGGCACATGCTGGGGTTGTGGGCCTGATCCCCAGTCAGGGGCATGCAGGAGGCAGCCGATCAATGACTCTCTCATCATTGATGTTTCTCTCTCTCCCCTCCTCCTTTCCTCTCTCGGAAATCAAAAAAGATATATTTAAAAAAAAAAAAAGATGCGTTTCTGGATACAGCTCAATCCTCTATTTCTGAATCCTTGCCAACACCTTGTGTCCATGGGTACTGCCCTATGGATTTCAACAATTCAGCCAAGAGTCAGCTGCCCAAGAAGGCAGACAGCCTCAGAGATGGGACCCCAAGTTCCTGTGAGGGCTGAGCTGTCATCCTGAACTCCTAGGAAGGTATAGGCTATACAGGTGACTCCGTGCCAGGCTGTGGGCTGGGCCACGCCCCTCTGCTCCTGTCTAGCTGCCGCCACAGCAACTGCACATCCAGGCAGTGGAGGGGAGTGGTGAACACTCAGGGCACTGACACGTCTCATGTCTTCTCTAAGGCAGGCCTTTCCCACGGGAAGCAGAGGTGAGCGTCAAGTTCCACCAAATGAAACCCCAAGAACCTGGATTCCCTTTAGGCTACAATGGACAATGGAAATCTGACTTTTTTTTGTAGACAGATATACGCAAAATGAACATAAGCTTTACCCCACCTCCTGAATGAGACAGGTTAAATCCGACCTTCCCCTTAAATAAACCCACAACACCCCTTGTTTGTTCTCGGAAGCCTCAGCAGTCACGACTTCATCAGGCAGGAGGATTCTCAACGTTACCGAGCTCATTAGTCAGACCCAGAGGCAGCAAGACGTCCTTTTTTTCTTTATATGATTTTCCTTTCCCTGGAGGCTACTTCCGGAACCAAGAAGAAAACAATGAGTGTGTGTGGCTGGGGCGCCCACACTCCTCCTTCCCCCGGGGAAAGCTGTGTGGGAACAGACCTTGCCACCAGGCGACAAGCCCAGGAGGGGCTGGGGCCGGCTGTTCCAGAGTTTCCTTTAAAAATGACCCCACACTCCCACCTGATTCTAGCTCTGAGAGACCACATTCATCAGCTGCGCGTGCACGTTAAGTGGTGGGCACCTTATCTACAATGTGCACGGCTGGAGTTGGTCTGCAGAAGCTCTGGCAGCCCCTCTTTTGCCCTCAAGACCATGCTGGGCAGACAGTTGGGGGAAGTCACTGGCTCCATGGGAGGTGGCTGAGTCCACTGCTGAGGCTGCTGGGGCCCTGTGCATCACACTCTCACCCTCTGCTTTGGAAACCAAACACTTCATTTTTAGGTGCTACTCTGATCTTTTTAAAATATTTGAGCCTGGGGGCTAAAAAGTCTCCTTCCAGGGAATTCCTACGCTAGTGACAGCAGCAAGAACAGGTTGTCGGGTCCAGCAGGTCACAGCTCCAGGGTCAGAGAGGTGAGGTGGGCGTGCTGAGACCCTGCCCTTTACCCTCCCTCACAGATGATGTGAGAATAGACCTTCTCCTCTTTGTGTACACAAAAACTAATTCAAGATGAGTCACAGCCCTAAATGTGAGAGCTAACATAAGAGAAAAATCACTAAGACCTTGGGTCAGGCAAGATTTTAGTTAAAACAAAAAAGAACACTAAAAAAAAAAAAAAATGGCATACCAGATTTCATCTAAATTTAAAACGTTTGATTTTAAGATACTACTGAGATAATGAAAGGGAAACCACAGACTAGGGTAAAACACCTACAAACATATATGTAAGAAAGGACTCTTAAGATCATACAAAGAATTTCAACACAGTAAGACACGGCAGAAAACCTACACACACACTTCACCTAAGATGATAAAGGAATGTCCAGTAAGCCCGTGGAAAGATGTTAACGATGCTACAGTCCTCCCTCGATATCCGTGGGGGATGGGTCCCAGGAACCCCCAAGGATACCAAAATCTGAGTCCCTTAGCAGGCCCTCTGCGGACAGTGAACCCCCGGGTATGGAGGGCCCACTGTCTTCGCTAGGGAAAAATCAGTGTGCCCAAGGACCAGAGAAGCAGGACTCACATGTTGCTGGAGGAAATGGTCTCTTATGAAGGTAACCCTGTACTTGCATGTGACCCACAGTTCCACCCCCACGTCCCTACTCTCAGGAAATGAGATGTGTGCACAGACATGTGGGTGAGTGCTCAGAGCTGCTTTATTTACAACAGCCCCAGACGTCTATCAGTGGATGGATGGCTAGGCAAAGGGGAATGTCCACCCAGGATAGAGTCAGTGTTACCCAGCAATGAGTCTCTCCGCAGGGATGAAAGATCCACCTCCAAGGCATTGCTCCAGGTCAGAGACCAGACTACACAGTGTGACTCCATTTATACAGAATTCCAGGAGGGGGAGACTGTGCCAGGCCGGTGGTGGCTGGGGGTGGGGGACAGACTGCTGTGAGGGGCCACGAAGGAGACTCCTGGGCAATGAAACTATTCCTGGTCTTAATTGCGGTGGCGGCTACACACCTGTAGACACCTATCAAGCGAATCAAACTGCCCATTTAGAGTGGGAGAGTATTACTGCGCCAGCACCCGCTTCACTAACTAACATACATAGCGCAACAGTAGACATCCCACCACTGGGTACAGCAGACAACTTGTTAAAGAAATTCTGACTCAAATTAAAAAATATGATCACTATGTTGCCTATGAGTGAACTAAAGTCCAACTCTGAGAAATAAACTGGACTTTTGCTATCTGGACTCCATCTAAGAACAACTATGTGATTAAAATAATCACGGCCCAGGTGTTATTTCAGACATCGGCTTTGCTGTGACGGGAGATGAAACCTGCTCTCTGAGGACACACAGGACGCTGCCCCGTTCACAAGGCAGGAAATACCCATTTTCAGATTCTCACTCTTAACTGACTGATCCACACAGTGGGGCTGAGTCAGTGCTCCCTGGACACTTTATGATGTTTGGAGAAAGGAACACTCCTAAAACAACCCAAGTAAGTAGGTCTTACAAATATTTTACCAAGCACTTATGAAATTCTAGAATAAAACTATGCTTTTAAATGGCTTGGTCCCTTACTCAAATCTCTTCTAAGTTGAAAAGTTACAGATTTTTAAACTTCCTTAAACAACAGGGAAGTTAAACACTCGACAAAAGTCTTAGGGCCGAGGTAGCCCTGTGGCAACCTGGAAGGGACACCAGTGCTTTCAGCAGAGGCTCGTGACGCTAACCAGTGTGTGACTATGAATCCCAGGATTTCTGAAAATACTTGTCACTCAGCCAGCTAAGGTCCACAGTACACTCAGCCTGAAGCTGACAACACCAACAACAGGATCATAGTAAAGTTGTTCAGCATCTTCTATCACCAGCTATCATTCTAGGGCTTGCCTCGTACCTACCATGGGCTGGTTGCATGCCCGTCGGAACTGATCAATGCCAACTGCACTTGCCCAAACCCCCCCAAACTGGATTCCATGCCATCATTAGAGGACTGTCCCCTCCCCCACCCTGGTCTCAGACAGGAGGAGAAGGGGTCAGAGTCGGCTGAACGGAGAGAAGACCAGGTCGCACACTTCCAGCCCACATTCCGGGCTCCCTGTGCCAAGTTAGTAGAGCCAAGGGTGACGTGGGGTGGGCAGCACTTACCAATCTGTAGCAGGATTGGCGTGACCAAGGCTGTCTCCATGGCATAGCAGAACTCCCTGCCGAACATCACAGCCCCATGCATGACCCACAGGCGCACAGGGATGCGGTCAATGGAGCCCTCGCTGACTGTCTCGTCACGTGGCTCGGTGTCGGCACCGGCGGCCTTCTGCAGCTCCGGCAGGGGCACCGGCAGCTCCTGAACTTGCATAGATTCCGAGTCGGCATTCTGCGGAGCCATTCTCATCACCACCAAAAAATATATGTATTTATTTACTCTACCTATATAAATAACACTATCATATATCTTTAAGGATAAATTAAGACGTCTTCTCTTTCTGCTTCCGTTGCGTTCCTGGCAAGTAATACTTATATTCCTCTTTGTAAAACTTCTCACAATTGGATGTGGCTCGCAGCAAAACAGAACGATATTTGGTTGGATTCTGAGCATATGGCTTGTTGGATTACTGTGAATTAGAGTTAAAAATCCATAATTGCCATTCAGTTAATACCAGTTTCATCATCATGACCCAGGAGGAGCTGACGTGGTTCCTGTGGCTGCGGAGAGGTGGGACGCTGACACGGGAAGGGGCTCCACCGTTGCTCCCCATCGAGCGACTGGCTGATCTGCAAAAGAGGGAGACGACTCAGAAGAGTCAGCGAGGTCACCCCAGGTGCTGGTGTGTGGTCACTTAGGAGACCTGGGCCGCTGAGCACCTCGGTTCTCGGGTGCTCTTACTCTGGTCACCTGTGTAAAAAACCAACTCTCATTTCTAGAGAAAACTTTCTTATACAGAATTTAGTCTGGGGCACACAAAGATGAGGACAACACAGGGAAGCTGGGCCAGAGAAAATGAACAAAGAGCTCAGACTCCTCTTCGCAGTGACAGTCACTGGCTCTGGGGACTGGGGTGTAGGAACCCCTGTGCATGGGATGCATCGTATCTGTGAATGTCATGGTGGGGATAAGGGGTGG